ATTTGTAGTATTGACATGGTGGATTTGGCACTGCCTGTGACTTTCTTCCAGGGCTCAGTCCCTATCAGTAAGCAATGTAAGTCAACAAGCTCCAGGATCTATTTTTGACTTTCTTATTTGACATTATTTCAATATCAAGTAATGAGCTCACACTTTCGTACCAGGAATTCCTAGCGATCTGGGTGACGATGCCAAGAGACTCGTTTTTTTCCCCCTGCTTGTGCCAGGCAACGCGCTTATGTTTAAGTACAAGCTGATCTGGCTGAAGGGTTGAGCAATCTTCCCAGCCAGGGTTTAGTACATTCCAGAGGTGACACACCATCAATACTATCATGTGCTGCACCCGCGACAAGCACACGTGGGGACACTGCTTGTTCACACAGGGCTTGCTGGAAGAGAATTTGTTGGAGTGCCACCATACAGGCAAGGCTAAAATAACAAAGTGGATCTGAACCCAAGCACAGATATGTAATAGATTGCCACTTGCCAGTCCTTAGATGTGGTGGCTGCATTAGCTTTCTATTTTTCACCTGGTGATCCTGCCAGTAACACCCTTCATGCCTAGGGATGAAGCCGGGTCAAACATGAGCTCCTATAAACAAGAAAGTACCACTGGCACCTCCACCCAATCAACTGCTGGCTGGTCATTCCCTGCCCCACAGTTGCATGTAAACAAAGGGGCGGGATGTTTGTGCTGACATCATTGACCTCATATGGCCACTTAGCCATAAATGGTATATGTAGCCAAATAAGGTCAATGACCTCACTGCATCCTCTTTGCATACGTCAAGCTGCAGGCGGGGATTTCCCAACCAGCAGCTGATTGGGCGGCATGGAAGGAGCTTCTTCTGGGTTCAGAGGAGCTCAGGTTTGGTCTGAACCAAAGCTGATCCCTATTGCTGCCCTTGGGTGACAACTCTCACTGTACTGTATCTATTTAGATGCAGTGTTGTCACTCTAGGACAGGCAGTGTTGTCACTCTAGGACAGGCCTGCAGAACACATCTCCCCCTCTCCTCAACTCCATTACATATTAGGGAGATGTTCTGTAGCCCACAAACAGAACCAGGAACAATGCAAGATCAACAGGTGTATTTATGCACTCGCCAAATATAACAAAATGGTTTCTTTAACAGACGTCCTCACTTCTATGGAAACCTCCATTAGACATCATCGGTTCCTTAGACTGCTGGAGTGAAGGGCTGAAGAGGCTGCAGGGACTGGTCAAGCAGCCCGGAGGGAGCAGGCGGAAGCAGGGATCAGGTAAGTCAATTTGCAGACTTGCTAAGAATTCTCTTCTTGGGGCCCAGTGCAGGAACAATTTTCTCATTTGGGTCCTCACATTAAAAAGTTAAAGATCCCCTGTAATAAAAGGAGACAGCAAGACCAGTAGAGGCTTCCATTCCCCACCACGTTAATGTCTCCCTACCTGTATTATTCTTATGGTGACCATATTAAACGTCATAACCAAATACCATCACCCGATATTCCACTACAAATGACGATCTTAACAAATACAATCCCACTAAAAGGTTTTCAGGGTCAAACCAGTCACCAGTGGGTAATATAGGGGTTTGGGGGACTTTCACTGCACGATGTAAACCAACAACAGAGCCCGGGCACGTCAAAACTCAGGAAGTTTGCAAGGAGTGCGTTGTTAGTTCACCTTTTCATTTCCTTAAAAAAAAGGAATGCACCAATACCAGTATCAGTGCTGATACCGAGTATTTTGGCGAGTACTCATACTCCACCAAATGCTCCCAATACCAGAACTTTACAAAGTCGGGCGGTGAGTCATTACATGCCACCCGGCTTCCTGATTTGCTGGGAAGCCGACTCCATGCTCCCTCGTCACAAAGTGCGAGCATTGAGCCAGCTTCCTGATTGGCCAGAAAGCCGGCAGCCATTTAATGACTCGACACCCAGCTTCCTAATTTGGTCGAGAAGCTGGCCAATCAGGAAGCCAGGCGGTGAGTCATTAACCCCCCCAGCTTCCTGATTGGCCAGAAAGCCGGCAGCAATGTAATGACTCGACACCCAGCTTCCTAATTTGGTCGAGAAGCTGGCCAATCAGGAAGCCAGGTGGTGAGACATTAACCCCCCCCAGCTTCCTGATTGGCCAGAAAGCCGGCAGCAATGCAATGACTCGACGCCCAGCTTCCTAATTTGGTCGAGAAGCTGGCCAATCAGGAAGCCAGGCAGCGAGTCATTACCAAACCCCCCCCCCCCGCCTCGCTGATTGGACAGAAAGCCAGCCCCATGCTTTCCTCCTCACCTAAACAGGAAGCCGGGTGGTGGGTCATTACACACTGCCTGGCTTGCTTAATGGGACTTCCAATACTGGTATTCGGAATGGGCGAGTACCTAAAAAAAAAAAAGAAAATATCGGCACTCGTACTCAATACCGAAAAACCGGCATCGGTGCGTCCCTACTTTTAATACACTAATAATATTTTTAAAAAGCACAATTGTTTCAATATAGTGCACCATAATGTGCAGCCTGTGCGTTGTAGTGCACTGCAGTGTGGGTGTGTTGCTTGCTGCTGTATAAAAATGGCACAACACACAGTAATGCACAAACCATGTTATCGTAGCGCAATGCAAATAGGCCCTTGGACATAAATTGTAGTGGGCAGGACATAAAACACTTGTCTATGATGGTTTATCTGTACTGTGTAGTTTAGACCTTAGACATGTATTTAAACTGCTTGCCATTATTACCTGAAATCCTTTTCTAAAAATATTTTTAAGAGGTTTAATGACAAAACCCGACACACGTGCCCCTCTACACTTCTGACCGGGAAGGGGGGTCTCCCTGCTCAGAATAGTCAATTCAGCAGTACTATTGCGCATCTCCACAGGTAAAACACCACTTTGCTGCAAACTGCACATCAGAGCCAGCACTGGAAAACGTTTTCAAAAGTGGACATTGTCATACCAAAGAATGCTGAACTGCAAGGAGAAGAAATAAAATAACCTTGTGTTGAGGTAAATGCTCATTTTTGCCAGCGCTCAATTCTTCTCTTCAATGCTGCAGCTTACGCACAAGCCCGCGTCGTCCTCACCTACAATACGGGACTACTGATCCTCCATTGTACTTGAAGAAGTCAGAGCTGCCACTGCCAGGGTATTTTCCCTTTTCTCCAGAGCGCAGCTTTAAAAGCTGAATTCTAGGCAGAGTTATAGATTTTTTTTAATGTTTAAAGTACTTGAATTTGACTTGGTATCAGAATCTTGTAATCCTCTGCACAGTAGAACTATAGGAGAGGGAGGCGGTAGCATTGGGAGCCAGTCAGGTGAGCTGAAGTGTACATGTGCTCACAAAGGAACACACTAACGCTGGGTTCACACCTTAGCGTATTGGAAACTCGCGTTTGCCGCGATTTGCGGTAAAAGAAACGCGCGGCAAACGCGAGTTTCCGAGGGGGTATCCGGCTGTATCCTTATGGATACGCGTGGTAATACGCCCCAAAGAAGCCCCTGTACTTTTTGGGGCGTATGGCGTTTTAACGCGCGGTAAACCACGCAGTAGAGAACCATGCCCATAGGCAAACATGGGTTTTCACCTGTTTCGCGTTTTACCGCGCGGTAAAACGCTCAGGTGTGAACCGGGCCTTACAGACAAAAGAAAGGTGGGTGATAGCTCATCAATTCATTGCTGTACCTTCCCTGTTCAATCCCAGGATGGGGCAGGGAGATGACCAGGCTGTATTGCCAAACAAATATCAGGCCACTGACCTAGCTCTTACAGCTTGCAAAGCTGTGTAAATCTCAAGACTGGATGGACAGAAGTGCAAATCATTTGGCAGGTAAAAGAAAATCTCTAAACTGAGGATAGAGCTGTGTACCCGGGGTTCATCTTTTTAACCATTGAAAACTGTAAATACTCAATTTTCCAGCGTGACTTATGTCTTTCCTCTTCAAAATGTGTTGAAGACCCTCTGGAAGGTCACCTTTATTACAGAATAATAAAGGAGTGCCATTGCTGCACTCCATTATTTTAGAATAGCATTGGCAGCCTTCATGATTGTCCCATGGAAGGTTTCCTTTAAGCAAGTGTTAGTTTTGAGCAATGACCCCCCCCCCAGGTGCCTGCACATACCTCTACTGGTACATCAAGTGCCCTGAGGAACCCTAAACCTGTGACACTCACGTATACAAATCTAGACTTTTTGCTAAGGTGGTCGTGGTCTTGTCCACCTCCTCCTGCGGGGAATGGAGGCTGCCTGCCAATAGGTAGACGGGCATATTGCAAAAGAAGCTTCTTTATTGAGCAATAAAATCAACTACACAGGAGATTACAACAGACTTCTAACATGTTTCATGCACACAGACCAAGTCCCTCAGCTCATTTCCTGTGTAATTGATTTAATAGATCAATAAAAAGGCAGCTTTTGGAATATCACAGTCCACTTTTTCTGCAACTGTATTACCAGTGGAAGCTCCTGTGGCGAGCAAGCATGGACCGACCGGGATCAACACTATGGTTTATTGTTACGGACAACCAATAGGAAGATGCAGAAGTATGATGGAGTTCAGCACGTGACTTTCTTGGTCAAAGTCAATGTTTGCATGCCAGAGCACCCAAGGTTTAAGGCAGGGGTAGGCAACCTTGGCCCCCCCAGCTGTGGCACAACTACAAATCCCACAAGGCATAGCAAGATTCTGACAGTAGTTTCAGCACAGTGGGCATTCCTGGGTTGCCTACCCCTGATCTAAGGGCTATTGAACCGCTCAGGGCACTGATCCAAAAGCTATGAATTTAGGCTGCTTGTTCACACCAGTATAGGAAACAATTACTTTAAAACAATGAATTATATTAACCCAACATGTGCTATCATGCCTAATAAAAATGAATTGCACTGTCCGGTCTGTATACTCACATTGCTTTGCCGCCCCTTGTCAGTCATCCACCCCTTAGTACACTGGAAGGCCTCCTTTTTTTAATCTTTAATAGAAGGATTAGTCTGGATGGTATTGCAGGACAACAGCTGAACACGGTATGATGAGCCATTTAATAGCCGGTTGACCTATGGAGCTTTGATGCTGGGATTGAACATGAACCCAGCTACCACATAAATATATACCACCCTCAAAGTCAAAATCTCAGCTGGTTAAATAAGGATTAAAAAGAGGAGCTTTAACTCATCAGATTTTGGGCATCAGACGCACGAGGTAAAAGGGAAGGGACAAACGGAGGTATAGGGAGTGAGTTTTCTCTTCTTACTGGGGAAGGGGAGATGGGGAAAGGGGGGGTGGATGAATGGGGCGCAGAAAACCTCTGCCTAGTCCACACAGTACAGTCTCAAAGAAGCTTCGTTATGTCAGTAATGGACGACCAAATGGAAAAAGGATGAAGGCGAGTCCCAATTGTGCCAGTTGGTAAAAGTCGAGCATCTGTATAGAAAATTATGACTTCTTGGGGTCCTGTGTGCTTCTCCTCTTCAGGTCATTGAGATCAACTGGTTTGAAGGCTGAGAAGGAACAGAAAAGAAATCAATTAAATTGGTTAACAGATGTGCATATGCCATAACCAGAAAAAGCAATACCAATGTATTCTCCTGGCTACAATGGAGATCCATGCTCTTTTATGGGATAGTAATAGCTATTTTCTATTTGTCTTATTCATATAACAAAGTGTTAGAGAGGACAATAATCCATTCACATCGGGTCCTACCATTGCACAAGCTTACCTATCTAATCTCCCTATTAAACCCATACTGGAATGCATTCACAGGGGAGCAGATTGGGTGGACCTGAAATCTTTTTAAAAGAAAATAATCATAAACCCATGCAAATAACTAATCAATGAGTCTCAGGAGGGGGCAGGATCAAGCTCATGTTTTACAAGAAAAGGCATGATTAAAGCTGAACTCCAGGCAAAGAAAGAAAAAACATGTAACTATATTCCTCAATAGCCACAAAGGATAGAAATCCACTTTTTGTACACCAAACATCTTTAAAAAAAACAGTTTTCACCTTGTAAAAGTAGTGATGACATCATCACTATGCTGCACATAGCCTGTGCAGAAAGCAGTGTTATAGGAGGGGCCCAACAGGCTCCACCCACCACAGGATGTCTGCAGAAAACTAGGAGTGGGTGGATACAAGACCAGTCACCCTGCACAAAGAGAGAGAGCAGCAGTGAGCGCTCTTTATTACAGGAGGGGGCTACCCCCGCACTGCAAGGGTCAAGTGCTTGTTTTGTCTAGGAGACACCATTAAACCTGCTTTACTTACCTCATCTTCTGTCTTTCCCGGTTGCTAGACTGGTCTCCGAAGCCTCTTCTCCCACTTGTACCAGTGGTCTAAGTGCCGTTGATATCGTCACATCTTATGCAGGTCCACTGAAGGACATTCCAACGTCCGGGGCGAAGGTGGGAAAGCAGTAAGCGCTGACCACTACGGGAGCCAGGATCAAGTAATTAAACAGCTTTTATTTGAGTCCCCCAGAAAAAAACGAGCACTTAACCCTTGCAGTGCGGGGGTTCCCACACTGCAAGGGTAGATTTTTTTTCTTTTCCCAGAGATGGGCTTAAAGACAAGTTCCCTTTAACTGCACTCTGTTATAAAACTGCATTCATGTCCATTCTAAGCAGCTGAGGGCATAGAACTATGCAGATGAATATACATCAAAACGTATAACTTGAGATACCACAAAAGAGCAGGACTTACATTTCAGGTTGTTGCTTGGCTGCTTCTCCACGTACTCTTCCACAAATCCACGGTCCCCACCAGACATTTGGTTTCTCAGGTCCCGCTCCACACTCTGCCATGCTGACAAGGCACAAGGAATATAAAGTAATGCATGACTGGTTATCACTAAAGCCCTGTACACAATCGTCAAAGCGAGGCACCCCTTGGGCCAGGCAGGGTGTGCTCAGAATGTTTAGGTTATTTCTGCCCAATGCAGCAGGCCCATTCACTTACTACAAAAGTATTTCAAAGCTCAGAGGAAGATGTCCCACAGATAGACAAACCAGATGTGGCCCATGTGTACAACCCCATAGGATTACCATAGAACTACATGGCCTACAATAAGACAGTTATGGTAAAATGATATGCTGGGGCACCTTAAAAGGAGAACTATGAGGTGAGTGCTTTTCACTCACCTCATAGTTCTAGCCGACCTGTGACAATGATACTGTCACAGGTCGGCTGAGTAGATCGGGAGGTGAGCGAACACATACCGGGGGTTCGCTCACCTCTCGATCCTGTCACGGCTCTCTGCCGTGACAGGGGGAGGGGCTGGATTCCCCTCTCCCTGCTCCGATCTGCCAGCGCTGACTGGCGGATCGGACGGGAGAGGGGGCGGGTACAGCTGGCTCTGCCTCTAGATAGGCAGAGCCAGCTGTCACTCACGCAGCTGGGCGGATCCCGTCGTCTAAGTCGGGATCCGCTCCGGCTGCGACGTCTCAGTATACCGCGAGCTGTAGTTCGCGGTATACTGAGCTTAGGGTAACGAGAGGACGCTAGTTTGTATCCTCCCGTTACCCTAAGGAGAACTATGGGGAAAAACACTGACCCCATAGTTCTCCTTTAAGGGACTACTCACTGCCCTTATATACTTAAATCCCCCCCCGACCCCTAAAGGAATTACACATTTCTCTTTTTATTGGATAATCTATCATTTCAAGTCTGTTATGCCCCTTTCATACGGGCAGTTCGCCTGTCAGTTTTTCAGGCAGACCCGATTGAATGCCCAACTTAAGTCTATGGGCAGCCGGATCTAAATGGAAAGGTGTCCGTTTACATCCAGTTGCTCCCGGCTGTGGCCAGGTCCAGAAGAACAAACAGAACAGTGTTCCGTTTCATCTGACCCGATTCTTCCAGATCGGGGGTAATCTAATGTAAACCAACACGTCCATTTACATCCTATTCCCCATAGACTGACATGGGGTCCGGTCATTTAAGTTTTTACCTTCATTGCAAGATAGAGGAAATATTCGGACAGACATAAATGTCAGACCGGTGACATCCGATCTGTACCACTCCGATCAGAAGGGGATCCATGCACGGATCTCCTCCCAGTCAGAGTGTGTGAAAGGGGCCTTATTCTCAGGTAATTGTCATACATGGGAGCTGATGCGCTCTCATTCTACTTTTCCCAGTCTGCTATAAAAGTAAAAAGTTGACAAGGTGCCACTAATGGGCTCTCACCTTCGTAAATGAAACGTACATTCTCCTCATGAGCTGGTGTGAATATGTCGCTGCTGCTTGGAGAGCGCGTGCTGCTTGTGGGGCGCTTGCCGTTATAAACTACACGGGACACCGGAGAGCTAACATTTAAAAAAAAGAAAAAAAAAAAACAACTCTTTTTTTTAGACAATGGCAAGCAGCATACAAACACCTGACCTAAAAAAAAACTTTTTTTACAACTTCACTGTGTATTCCAATGACCACATGGTGCAACATCCCGACATTGTTAGCCAACAGTTGTTAAAAGCAATCTGTCACTTTGCACCTTCAGAGCAAAACAACAGGTTCTCTTGATAGGTTTCCACCCTCCCCTCCTGTTCTGATACTTACCTTTGCCGTGCTGCCCTGACGGTCTGTTCATCTGTTGGGAATACCCAGTACCTCTAGGTGTGGGGGAGCATGTAACTTTCCTTCCTCTCAGTATGCAGTGCTGTTGCCTGATAAGCCAGCCCCACATGGGGAAAGGGAGAAGGAAATAACCCTGTGTAAGCTCCGATACAGAGCTTACAGGTAGATTAGATTTAGCACTCCAGTAAGGGCAACAGTGTGAGTGGGTGGGGGACCTACCAAGAGAACCTGTCTCTTTACCTTGTCTTGGGCAAAGCGATAGATTAAAAGAAAACTATGGGGTAACATTTTTATCCCATAGTTCTCTTTAGGGTCACGTGAGGACATATACTAGAATCCTCCTGTGACCCAAAGCTCAGTATATAGCGAGCTATTGCCCACTATATGCTGAAAGCGCTGCAGCCGGGACGGACCCAACCATACTGTCGAGATCCACCCAGCTGGCTGATCGGCAGAGGCGCCGCAAAATCTCTTTCTAATCTCCTAGGCTGCTCTATTTCCCTCAATAAGTTGTCCACAAGCGCAGATCAACAGATTTTACAATCTAGAGGCAAAACCAGCTAAGCCCGCCTCTTCTCCCATCTGTTCCTCCAGTCAGCGGTGGAGGATCAGAGAGGGGGGGAGATCCCTGCGGGGAGCGGTGGCTGACCGTCATCGCTCTCTGCAGGGAGATGATCGGAAAGTGACGGTATGTGTTCGCTCACTTCCCGACCTATAGGGTTGACGTGTGACAGTTTCAATGTGACACGTCGGCTCTAACTATGAGGGCGGGTAGAAATCACTCACTTCATAGTTCTCCTTTAACTTTAAATCCATATACTTGAAAAACAACTTTATTCAGGTGCCTTGTCAGAAAGACAAGCAGGATCCCCCTCACCAGATCACCTCTAAAAGGTGCCCATACACTGCACGATTCTCGTACGAGAATCTCGGGAAATCCCGCGATCGTACGAGAATCGTGCAGTGTATGGAAGGCGTGCGACCGTTTCTAATGTACGGTCGCACGTCTTTTGTATATCGAGCATGTTGGAAAACCAGTCGAGAATCGTACGATTTTCGGCTGGCTTTTAACATGATCGAGAGATCACTGCCGAACGGGCCGGTGTGCGCACGCGCACACTGCCCGTTCAGCATTGCAGTCATCGAAAGCCCGCTCCTCAGGGGGGCAGGCTGGCGATGATCGCAGGTACGATCTGCCTGTCCAAGATGGGCAGATCGTACGTTTTTTTAAGTACTTTACAACCCTCGCAAGACAAAAGTCTTGCGAGGGTTGTAGAGTGTATGGGCACCTTAAGACTCTGCACCACTTGCAGCTAAGACATGCAAACAAATATATGACAATACCAACAATAACCTGTCAGGAGAGGTTAGATAGCTCATCATTATTCTCACCTGGTCATTGCTGGTCTGTCAGAGGAAATGCCAGGAAAATTATTGTCCTGGAAAATCTAACAGGAGAAGCTAAGAAGAGAGATAAAAAAAAAAAAAGTCAGATACTTAACAGAATCCATACATCACATACAGAAAGACAGCCAGCTCATACACACAGCACTGTGGGACAGCAAGGAGAGATCACTGTCCCCAAACTGTACATGCAACACTAGAGGCCTGGGCCTGACAAATCCTAGAAGAGCGACCTAAATCCTAGAAGAGCGACCGATCCTGATCCTCAGAGCCGGCTTGCTCTTAGACGACCCTTACAGCCTCTCTCCCCCTCCGCTGCAGCGGTGTAAGGATCCTGGAGTCATCATAAATGTATAGGATGTGAGGATGCCGAGGGATATTCCATCGCTGGAGGGGACAGGTTTCAGGGAGCACTGTAACTGACTTGAACAGGCTGTCTGTTACAGCGCTTCCTGAAACCTGTCCCTTAGCGTCCTCATGTCCTATACATGTACAGGACATGATGACTCAAGGATCCTTAGACCGCTGGAGCGGAAGGGGAGTGAGGCTTCAGGGATTGCTCCAAGAACAAGCCGGCTCTGAGGATCAGGCGAGTATAACTTTGTTATTTTGGGTCCCCCAACCCCCTCCCTGCACTCAGGGATTTCAGTCTGTATGCATACGTGGCTGTACACAAGTATCGGCAGACAGAATCTGGAGCAGCTGCAAATGGCAACCAATCAGCTTCTAGCTTTCATTTTCAAAGCTTAACTGAACAAGCTGAAGAGAGAAGCTGATTGGTTACTTTGCACAGCTGCTCCGGATTCTGTAAATTCCCCCCATAAAACTCCAAGTTATGGAAAGGTGAACCCTTGCTGCGGGGCTACTCCTGCACTGCAAGGGTTAACTGCTTCCTGTTCCCTAGGGGCGATCATAAAGAAGACTCACCTGATCCTCAGGACTGCGACAGTGACCACTCACCTACCTCCCCCTCATCTCTGGCTGTGGTGTGTCTCTCGGCATCCTCAAATCTAATACAGATGAATGGGTTGTATTAGATGTAATGACGTCAGAGGTCCTTAGACCACCAGAGCCTGGGAAGGAGAGGGCCGCAGGAACGGGTCTAGCAGCCAGGCGGGAGAGAGCATCAGATGAGTATATGTGCTTTATTTTCATCCCAAGACCATAACATTTATCCATTGCAGTGCGGGGGTAGAAGATGTAAAAATTGTTCTGGTCCACGTACAGGTGTGAGAGCCGAGTCCCAGGCGCCATTTTAAATGGCAACCAGATTCAGAGTCTCTCCACAGACCAGACCCTCCCCACTGCATGCAAGGCAATGTAGAAAGGGAATAAATGCCTCCTACAGCAATACACACACATACACCTTGAGTGTTACCATTCTGCTGCGGTACATAGAAGTCACACTGTTCTGATATCATTTCCATCAGTAGAATTTGCTGAATATATTTTTGGGTGAATATACCGGGCTGCGCAAATCAAAATAAACACTGCTTTGGGTAAAATGACAGAAAATCCAGCCTTCATCTCTGCAGCCTCACCTTTGTGATTGCTCTGCACAACAGCAACACTGCTGCTCCAGGTTTCCATCCCCTCTTAGCGAAGCCATTTGGCTATACTGCCCATAGCAACCCATCAGGTGTCCCCTCTTGGTAACCTGGGCCAGTGATGTAGTTGGTTGCTATGGGCAACAAGCTCGCTACTTGCAAAGGACCCATAAACACCGGCTTAGGGCCCCCCCTACACACAGCAAAGAACACAAAACCCACACAGAGGCCCCCTTCCTCCCCGCCTATAGCTTCCGCGCATACTACCGAGCACCACCAGGGACTCCCCGGGGACTAGGCAACCGCCATCTTCCGGTTTACTGGCCGCTACTTCCGGCACCTTACCACTGTTGCTATTTCTCCGGTTCCCAGCTGGCAGGCCCGGAGAGGAAGTGACGTCACCTCAGGCGCGCCCGCGGGAATCCGTGCAACGAGCGCGCGCACCCGAAGGGATTTGCACATGTGACGTCATGACGTCCGGAGCTGGAGAAATGTGGAACAGGATCCCGGTCAGGTGGGTGGAGTTATGTAGTGCCAGTCATCTCTATAGGGAGGGCGCAGTATGTGCCGTCCTGACTCTTAGTTACCAGCTGGCTGTCTTATACGGACATGTCAGAGGACGTTTTGCTTTATTCATGAGTAGTTTTTCCAGGGCGATATATGTTTCATCTTGCTTTTTCTTTTTTTAAAAAGCTTCTAGTTTTGGGTAAGGGAGGAGTTCAACCCACTTTTGTTTTTTACTGTTATCCGGATTCCGTTAGAGAAAATTACCTTCACGTCGTGTACTCCAGATACTAGACAGGAAGTGAGGAGAACTCTCCAATTATCACCAGTACACCCAAACTGACACAAAGGTCTCCCACTGACTCCAGTGCCCCCCACTATAACCAATATACCCAAATGTCACCTAGTTTCACCAATGTCCCCCACTGACACCAATGTCCCCCACTGACACCAATGTCCACCACTGACACCAATGTTACTCACTGTCACCAATATTCCCAACTATCACCAATGTCCCCCACTGACACCAATGTCCCCCACTGATACCAATGTCTCCCCACTATAACCA